TAACTGAATTCCTGTCAGTTTGAATCTCAGGACCTATGGTATTTGTGGCAAAATCAGGTAATTCTCAATGGCTTGGGGCCTGTCTCTGCTGCTTGAATCCCTGCCCATAACTTGGGTGACTGACAGATTTTGCTGTGTCATCCAGAACTCTAGTTCTTCAGGATTTTCATAAAAAAATGAATAAGGCCAGGAACCACAGTGTCCCATTTTCAGAAGTCTCTGACCTATGCACTGAGTCACAGCTCCACTTCCTACTGAATAACTCCAACAAAGTGATGGTAACTATGAACTCTCTGAGACTTACGGGCAAAGACAAAATGCATACAAGCCAGCCTGGTTCTGCATTTTATATTTCTGAGTCTTCTGTTTCCTCATCCCTAAATGCAGATTCTATACTGTTTATTGGGCAGCTGTAAGGAAGAGTGAGCTCATGTGTGAAAAATATAGAGCAGAGTGCTTGGTGCACAGTTAATATTCAGTTAAGTGGTAGCATACAGAGGTCATCATTACTGGTGAAGGAACAAAATTAATTATACTTGTACAGCACATATTTAGGCAAACTAAGGAAGGATAGAAACATTAATAATTTGAAACAATCCATGGCGAAACGATCAAGATAATTTAAAACACCCAGAGATGATTTAACATATCCAAATGTTACCATTTTATGGTACTTCCTCTAAACTACGTGCTTTTATTAGCATTCTTAAAATTGGGAAATAAAATCATGTGATAAGGGGCTTAAATACAGTCATCATCACAAACTGGCTGTGGTCTTTCCTGCATTTGTGACTGCTGGCATTGATTACATTTTTATGCATAGTGTATGAGCTGCACGTTTTTTGGCTGTAGCACCACACCGGATGTGGAACACTCTCTTTCAGCATGAATAATAGAAAGAAGGCAGCAAAAAGATCTCACCACTCTGGGAGGGAAGGCTGGGGAACAGGGCAAGAGGCACCTCACCACCCCCTCATTCTTTGGGAAAGAAGTGAAGTTTGATAATGAAGCAAACCCATGTGTGCTATGATTCTCCAATTTCTGGCTGTCTCCTAAAATGGCAAAGCAGAACTTGAGAGTTAAGAGCACAGCCCTACTCTGTTCCTGTTTACACCGTCCGTATCTAACCACGGGCCTGGAATTCAATACCTCTTACGGTTGAATGAATGAAGAAATCAATGAAGCCTCAAAGCTAAGACTCTTCATAAGAAATAGATGGAGGGGACCTGAGAGTCACAGGGGGGTTGGCCGACACATGTATTCACCAGCTTAGTCCTTGATTTCCCATGAATTGTTGAGGTGTGAGGACCTGAATTTTAACTCAGCTCCAAGCACGGATACTGTGAGGGCATTTTGAGCCCACTTACAAATATGGTTCGGAATTTCACAATGTGATGATATATAAATAATGTGACGATCTGGGTGTGTTTATCACAGCTGTGCCACACATTTTCCTTAGAATGAGGACACATTTGGAATAATGTCTACTGTAATCTCATATTACATAATTATTACAGGCACATGGAATAAGTACTTATATAGATAATGATAAAGATAATAGCTAGTTAGGACTTACTAAATCCAGAGACTGGGCTAAGTGGCTTTCCATGTATAATTCATGATCTTCCAGACAATTATCCGAGATAGGTTACTGTATCTATTTTATAAATGCAGAAACTGAGGTTTAAGAGGTTTACAAATATTCCCAAGTTCAGTGGCAAAGCCAAGATTCATACCCAAAATATCTGATTTCAGAGCTTAAAAGATGAATCACAATATTATTCTGACCAATAGGCTTCATTTACAGCTCTAAAGGCCTAAATCTGAAATAAGCAAAATTTGAGTAATTGGGTTCTGTTGTTTTGTTTTTAAAAATCTCTTTTTTCTACCTGCTGAAAACTTTGTCAAGCACAGACAACTATTTGTATTACCTGGTTCTGATGAGATTAAAATTTAAGCCTGAAGCTGTTCCCTATACCTATGCATGGAATTAGGTATTCCTATAAGTAGCTTGCTAAAAAACGCTCCTAAAATGACCTGCTCCAAAGTCTCTATTTGACAGAACAGTCTCTCTATCACTAACTGAGGTGAATACGATAGAGCTGTTTAAGAGACTGAAACTGTGAAGCACCCAGCATCTATCTAGTTCTCCAGATAGATGTAGGGATAGTTTTGAAAAATAAGGACATCTCAAAATCGTCTCCGAAGAACGACAAGCATCATGCTCACTGAAGATTCCACAGCAGTTCTAGAGATCACTCCAGACTGGATCTGAAGATTTCTTTCTGTTCTTATAGAAAATACGCTTCTGGAACCATAACAACAGAAGAACCGGAGAAGAAAAAGGCAGGGTGTTGGGGAAAAAAGGAAAAATGTCTAGTGTTGCTTTTTAATCTAAAGGGACCCCTGGACTTGATAAATATGTGTCTGACCTCCTGTTCTTTCAGATAACAAATGTGTCCTCGTGGGCTGGCCTGGCTCCTCAATAAGCTCCTGTCTCTCCCTTTTGCCTTCTGCCTCTCTTGTCCTTTCTTTTCCCAGCAATAATATACCTGGCAAGGTGGGCTATGTAGTCTGCTGGGTTTGCTTGAGGGAGGTGGGACTGGGCACCTGTGGTCGTCCTGATTGTTAAGTCTCCAGCTGGGCAGCAGTGGTTTGGTGTGAGAATACCACTCATGCTACTAAATGCCAGAGTAACCAGGAGTTCACTGCAAAAATGCACTTTCCAGGAATTATAATTCTTGAGTCCCAGAAAATCTAGGTAAGAAGTCCTTCTAGGTAGCAAGCAAGCAGGCACTGTATTTACTATAGATTCCCCAGACCCTGTTGACAGAGTCAAGAACTTATTCCCCCAACTACTGGGAATGTTGGCTGTTGAAACTAACAGCTGACCCTTCTCTGGGCGTTACCCTCTGGAATTAGCCTCCACCAAAGGCAGCAGCCTCACCCCAAGATTACTCAGCCCCTCCCCAAAGGCAGCTCCAATCCAAAGACAAATCAAAGGGGAGGCCTCCTGGCCTAGGCAGAAGACAACTTCAAAGGGTCACCCCAGCTCCAGAGCCCCAGAGGCTCGGCTTCTTCCTCGGCGCAGCCCAGCCTTCCCCACTCCCTCAGAGAGTGGAGAGCACTCCTTCGAATCTGGAATCGTCTCCCAAGATCACAAAGCAAGTAAGCAGAAGAGCTGGGATTCAAATTCTAATCCATTTGACTCTCAGCCCTGTTTCTAGCAACTTTATCAAACCCTTGACTTGGATTTACAAAATACAAATCCTTACATCTTAGCAAAACATACAAAGTCCCTTTTTATTATGACTGTCCTTTCCAGGTCAGAGCACTCACTCCCACACAGCGCAGGTCCAGTCACAACAAACTCTTTGCTTTCCCTTCCCCCCCAAAGAGTTCACTGTGCTTGTCTGCTGGCTGGCCGCCCCCTTCTCCTACAGGTCTCACTTCAAGTGGCCCCTCCCTGTGAAGAATTTCCTGACCCCTCAGGTAAGGTTAGGATCTCCAGCCTTCAAGCTTCCATAGTGGGCTGTATGGCCCTTTAACATTAATTACTGTAATGAATTCCTGCAGGCAGGGACATGTCTTTTAACACTGCTTTCCCAGCCAGGCATTTTAAAGATGTTTTGTTGAAAGGATAAATGAACAAACTCAACTAAGGTGCTGATCTGAGGCCCCGGCTGAATAGCTGCTTGAATCCCCATAACTGGGAAGCATCATATAGTGCCATCCAAATTTGGATAAACTATGACATCCTTGAACAGGATTAGTTTTTCTTCATCTATGTTGCCTTCCCAAGACCTAACACCATTTCCTGCTCATGGGAGATGCTCAAAAAAAAAAAACCCTAAACCCAACGACGAGGTCTTGGTGCAAAGGCTGATGTGAGAAAATTATTTTCTTTTCATGGCTCAGACTCAACTATTTTTTAAGACAGAAAGGATATTTCTCTATTTTTTCTCTTCTTAATATGCTCTTATTTCAAATTTTGAGAATTTCTCCTTTATTTCTAATGTTTCTTTTCCCATTTAATGGAGCAAAAGACAACTTAGAGTTTGCCAAGTTCCATTTCTAGGCCAGAAATCAAATCTAATGTGGACACATCAAATAGAACTAAGGAGCTTTCCAGCTGGCCTGATTAATACTACATCTTTGCTTTAAGGGGTCCCTTTAAACATAAATATGCCATTAATCTACAAGGTGGTCCCCCCCCCCCCACTTTCTGAAACCAATAATTACTTACTGAACAGAGGTACAGACACAGGCAACAAATGCCACAATTACAAAGCTGGGATGGGGTGGAGAACCCTTGTCCTACAAACATAAAAACCGAAAGCCAGTCTTATTGGGCAAGTAGCTTCATTCTCTACACAGGAAATGGTCCAATTTTGTTATTGTTTTGCAGCAAAATGTCCAAACAACAAAAAAATTGCTGAGAGTTGGCTGAGACTACTAACAATGATAAGAAGCCTTAAAAGCCCACTTCCTATTTTTTTAATAGATTTGGGAGGGAGGTAGCTCCTGGCATGTCAGGGGCTGCATTTTCTGTGCCCCACGGAATATTTTTCATGTCTCTCTCTCATAGCCTCCACTGCCCGTCTGGTGCGAGTATGAAAATACTGTGGTGACATTCTCCCAAGAGAGCAGCACATGTAGCCATCTTGGTCATGAGTCCAAAACACAGAATGTAAGGCTACTCCCCTCTGGTCTGGTTTTTCGTAACTGCAGGCAGTCTGTTCTTAAGGACAGAAGTGCAATTTGTGGCACTTCTCATTTCAGAATTCTGCTCACACGTTGTTCAGGTCACAGAGTCAGTGCTTCACAACTCTGTAAGTACGCCTGCTCAGCTTTAACTTTTTGTTCTGTGTCTTTAAATTATATGTTCACTTATTTATTTATTACCTAATATCTACTGAGTACAGTTACGACCCTTCTCAGGCCTGGACATAGGCAGAGTGGTCCCAGGAAAGCACTGCAGCAGGACCTGCGGTCGGTACCTTTTTGAACATCCTGGTGGAATCCTCACTGATCTGCATGAACCGCATAATGACGTTGTTCAGATAGATGTCACTCAGGGTCGCATGGTCTCTGCTTTCCCTCCTCACTTGGTTCAGGAGCAAATACCAGCAGTTCACCAGAGACAACAAGTTCTGGTCTTTCCTAAGAAGTGAGGAAAGGCAGAATTACCATCAATTTCAACACTGCCCCTACACAGCTCAGAGACATCACCGAGGCAAACGAGGAGCCAGATGGGTATCCCTGCTGTTCTCTCTGCTCTGGGCATTGCTCGTAGTGGGACACTCAGCTGCCAGCACGACAGCCTTCCAGGCTGTGATGGCACTGAGCCAGCAGTTCCCTAGGCTTGGAGGGAAAAACCTGGATTGAACGTTCCAGGCCAAACCCACACTCCTGACAAAGGCCAGGAGACCCTAACATACTCAGGAGGCCTTCAGCTTTAAACACGCCATTGAAGAAAGTACTGCATGTTTATATAAAAATCTACTGACTACTGTCTCACAGAGCCTGCGGTTTGCCACTGCACACAAAGTCTGCTTTGAATGCCCAGTCTGCTGTTGGAAAACACTTGGCAAGGTGTACTTTCCATGAAACATAAATTTGAGGATTAGTTATTAATCCCCTGATATATAACCTCCAGCCTCCAAACAGTGTTCCTGGGAATCAGAACTTTGTAGCATTGTCTCAAGGTTTGTGAATAGGACCAAGAGGTACACTGGCTTATGGGCTTATGCCTTGCTGCACGTCCTGTTTAAGCCCATTAAACTCCTTCAGATTTATAAGTACTTTGTTTTATTCCAGATAATAAAGCTAAAAGTGAGTATAATCCACAAAAGAAGACTTGTAAAAAAATCTTTAAAGAAAAACTCCATGCTCAAAAAAAATAAGCACAATGTTTTTTTGTTCTTTTACTTTAAAAATCTAACTATAAAATGGCAAAATGGGGCACTGGTATATCCTAACTCAGGGACACTGTGCCTTTTTATGAAACATGTTATCCTCTTATTCATGATCACTTATGAGTCTGAATATTTATTAAATTAGGAAAGAAATCAATATTTAAGTTCGTTCTTTCTGCCCTTAAGTCGTCAGATTCAGGATTTAATACCCTATGAAGTCAAAACCCTCTCTAGAAGAAAGTGGGTAGACTTATGATGGAAGTGGGAATGGGTGTAGGAGAAGAAACCCCTGCCTTGGGGTCCTGGCACTTGTACCCTTGGACAAGCCTCCCATTCTCCCCACTGGCACACTAAGAGTTACATCCCCCACCCAGAGAATGCCATTTTTTCCCTCCAAGTCATCAGAAAACAGGCAGTGGTTCTACAGCAGACAATGAGAGCCTTTCTGACATTTTCTATCCACTCAACCCAAAATTTAACATATATTTTGTAAAGAGGAGAAGGAATGTTGAGTATATACCCCAATACCAGCTGTCAGTCACATCAAGGACTTTGTCACGTTTCTCATTTAATGGTCCTAAGAATCTCATTTTACAAGTTAGGAAATAGAGGCTCAGAAAGGTTAAGTAATCTGACCAAAGTCACACAGTAGAGCCAGTATTCAAACCAGGTCTGTCTGACTCTTCAATGAAGACCATCTTTGATTTTTTCCCCCAAGTCCTTTCTGTAGACTTATTATCCATCTATCTTCAGTTCCTATTCAATAATAAATTTACTCTAGTCAAAGAAAATTCCAAGCTGCTTACATTTTGATAAAAACAAATGAACAAACCAGGAGAAAGAGTGAGTACTGATCGACTAAGGTACATGGGCCCCTGTATGTTTTCAGTTCACAATAGATTGCCAGTATAGAAGAAGACATTAAAAAATATTTATTGAATGGATGAATGGGCTCTCTTCTTATCTGCAATCACTTTTAAAAATGGATCATCAGGTGTGCATGTAGTACTGATTCCAATCTCTGTCAAGTACTTTCCGTATCTGTTCACCCTGGGAACCATCACTAAGATTTATTTCTGTGCTAGACCAATACTAGAGGTTAAAGTCACCAGAAAGAAAAAAGGTATTTTGTACCCAGAATAGTTCTGCGTTTGCCTCTGTAAAGGTAACAAGGGCTAGTCCTACCCTACTTTTTATGCAGGATCCAAGACCATGGGAGGGTATAAAATGACCATGTAAAGCCAACAACGGTGGGTTTTTCTGCAGCCCCAACTGAGCAGACAGGACTCCTTGCTGGCACCCTGTGCAGGCAGACAGGTGGTTTTCTGTTTTATCATTCACCGAGCAGAGTTCCGCTCGCCCTGATTGCACGCAGGGATGCAGTGCAACAGGACTGGTGATGGGGAAGCCTCACCTTCTGTCCCCACGTGGGACTCAGGGGTGGATACAACTGCCACTTAGGTTCACAGTTACCTCTTGCTTTTTTAAGACTTGAAACTTTTCCTTACTTTCCTATGAGTTCAGTTATGCAATTAAAATGATATCTATTATATTTTAATGAGCATTTCTCAAGTTTTTGTAGCAGAAATACTTTTTAGACTATCTAACCCACTGTATTTCCAGAATTGAAAGACTGTGCTATCTCTAACATCTCCTAAACAAGTTTCTTTCTTTCAACCGGCAGGGTTGCTAGTTTATGCCATTGGTCTGCCTCCCTCGGTCCTATCTTCCTCTAGTCCACAGGGCTATTGATGGTCTTTGCCATATTTTAAATGGCAGGTCTGAGCTGTTCATCCTTCTACTTAAACCTCTCAAAAGGCTTCCTATTGCCTCAGAAGTCCAAGCTGCCTGGTATGATGCACAGCACTCCATCAACTGATACAATTTATACCAGTAGCCACACACCTCAGCACCTGACTACCCACTCCCACCCGACCACTTTCTGTTGCAAAACTGCCTACACTCCTTCTTCTGGTCCCATATGTGTGACGTTCTCCTTGCCTGGAACATCCTGCACTTGTTCCCTTAACTGGCCAACTAGTCCTTTGGGTCGTCACTTACGTATCACTTCTTCAGACCTTTCTCTGACCCCCCCTTCCCCACCTCCATTATAGAATGGATTTCCTTCACGTCGGTCATTAGCTCCCTGCACTTAGCCCCTGTAGCACTTGTTCATCCTACTGGAGTTGTCTGCCTACATGTCTCTCTGTCTCTAGGGTCTAAATTTTAAAGTAAATTTAATTACCAGAAAAACCTGCAAGTATTTTTTTAAATGAGTTAAATTAAAGAGTGAGTACTGATCGACTAAGGTACATGGGCCCCTGTATGTTTTCAGTTCACAATAGATTGCCAGTATAGAAGAAGACATTAAAAAATATTTATTGAATGGATGAATGGGCTCTCTTCTTATCTGCACTTTTAAAAATGGATATTAGGTGTGCATGTAGTACTGATTCCAATATCTGTCAAGTACTTTCGGTATCTGTTCACCCTGGGAACCATCACTAAGATTTATTTCTGTGCTAGACCAATACTAGAGGTTAAAGTCACCCGAAAGAAAAAAGGTATTTTGTACCCAGAGTAGTTCTGCGTTTGCCTCTGTAAAGGTAACAAGGGCTAGTCCTACCCTACTTTTTATGCAGGATCCAAGACCATGGGAGGGTATAAAATGACCATGTAAAGCCAACAACGGTGGGTTTTTCTGCAGCCCCAACTGAGCAGACAGGACTCCTTGCTGGCACCCTGTGCAGGCAGACAGGTGGTTTTCTGTTTTATCATTCACCGAGCAGAGTTCCGCTCGCCCTGATTGCACGCAGGGATGCAGTGCAACAGGACTGGTGATGGGGAAGCCTCACCTTCTGTCCCCACGTGGGACTCAGGGGTGGATACAACTGCCACTTAGGTTCACAGTTACCTCTTGCTTTTTTAAGACTTGAAACTTTTCCTTACTTTCCTATGAGTTCAGTTATGCAATTAAAATGATATCTATTATATTTTAATGAGCATTTCTCAAGTTTTTGTAGCAGAAATACTTTTTAGACTATCTAACCCACTGTATTTCCAGAATTGAAAGACTGTGCTATCTCTAACATCTCCTAAACAAGTTTCTTTCTTTCAACCGGCAGGGTTGCTAGTTTATGCCATTGGTCTGCCTCCCTCGGTCCTATCTTCCTCTAGTCCACAGGGCTATTGATGGTCTTTGCCATATTTTAAATGGCAGGTCTGAGCTGTTCATCCTTCTACTTAAACCTCTCAAAAGGCTTCCTATTGCCTCAGAAGTCCAAGCTGCCTGGTATGATGCACAGCACTCCATCAACTGATACAATTTATACCAGTAGCCACACACCTCAGCACCTGACTACCCACTCCCACCCGACCACTTTCTGTTGCAAAACTGCCTACACTCCTTCTTCTGGTCCCATATGTGTGACGTTCTCCTTGCCTGGAACATCCTGCACTTGTTCCCTTAACTGGCCAACTAGTCCTTTGGGTCGTCACTTACGTATCACTTCTTCAGACCTTTCTCTGACCCCCCCTTCCCCACCTCCATTATAGAATGGATTTCCTTCACGTCGGTCATTAGTTCCCTGCACTTAGCCCCTGTAGCACTTGTTCATCCTACTGGAGTTGTCTGCCTACATGTCTCTCTGTCTCTAGGGTCTAAATTTTAAAGTAAATTTAATTACCAGAAAAACCTGCAAGTATTTTTTTAAATGAGTTAAATATAATTAATTCAAGGTTTAATTACACTTGATTATAAGTATTTTACCAAAGACCTTTGTTTTAGGTCAGTCTCAATTGTAATAACAACGAGCATGACAGGATCAGGGACTAAACTTAAGCACTGTTATTGCTCATATGCATATAATATCACTACAGAAATCCTGAGGTCTTCACTGGAAGAAGCAACTACGCTGTTGTTATCAATGTGCCCACTCAGTATCTACCTGTGATAGATATCAACCCTGGTTTTCTGTAATCAAGAAATTTATAAATATACACTCTTTCTTCTTGTATATATAGTTGCCCACAACTATATATTCACTAGAAAGAGAAAAACACTGAGAATACTAGTTTAGAATGGGATAAATTGATGTTCGTAAATTGTAAGTACAGAGGGTTGCTTTTATCTATAGGAATATGCCAATCAATAGCTTATACAAAAATTGAAAATTCTAAAACCGATAAGCCTGGCAAAAAGGTAGGATATCACCTTAGAAAAGTGAATATGAGTCAAGTGTCTCTTACTTGTACTGCTGATGATCCTTCGTGCTTCTTGTCTTCGCCATGAACCTTTCTGCTAACTTCTCTAGGTTCCGAGAATACTCCGTCTCAATTTCGGCTTTTTTCCGGAAGAAATCTTGCAGGTCCTGGAGAAGCTGAACTCGCATCTCCGTTTGCTGCTCTAGGCATTTTTGCTGTTCTACCAGTTGAGCTCGAATTTCTAAGGAGAGAGGAGAATCCATTTGAGGATTTCACAAAAATTAATGAGGTATGTTGGTATGGGCAAGATAAAAGTAATGAATCCTCTTGTACAGTTAGCTCTGTATTGGACCTTCATGGGATACTGTGCCCAGATTGGTGCTTTAATATGGTATCTGCTGACCCTTTAAAAGAATGAGACAAGCCTCAGGGAAGAATGCAATAAATTAGAGTTGAAACATGGGTTACATTTGCAATGCCACAAACATGCGTTGAGTCATGAGGGGGAAAAAAGATTAAAGCCTTTCTTTCAGATAACAGTTCAAAACATGTGATATCTTTGGGTAGTTGAGAACATTGTAGTTTTATTCAATAGCATTTTACCTTCACTAGCCCTTTAGTATTTGAATGGCAAAAAAGTGAGCATCTTTTTCTTCCAGACTTCTAGAGCACCACACATTTGCCGGTTGGCACATACAGACACTGACATCTGGTAATTTTTATTTAGTTCACAAATGTCTAGTTTGTAAAACACATAGCCTCAAGGTTTACAGGGATGCCATGCCTAAAAATAATTTCTTTCTATATCCAAATAATCCATTCATAACCAGCAATCCTCAGATTCCACTTGACCATTCTTTTTACAACATCAAGGGCTCTTCACTTGGTGGTCACTTTTTACACATTATTTAACAATAACAGCTTCCTCCACACACGTAATCCTGAAAAGAATCCTTTGACAACGTTAATACATTAGGAATGTGAAGGTTAGTCATTTAGTGATTTAGCAAAAACACAGAAGCAAAAGAGTGTCATGCAAACTTCTCTGTAAGTGGCTGTAACAATGAAATGTGTTCTTTTTTAAAATGAGATACAAGTAACTAATAATGCACTGACTTGTTTTTCTTCTTAGACCTTGAGCTAGCCTCCAAAACCAAGATTATTCATACTGGAAAACTTTGTTACTTCACCTTTCCCCTTGTCAGTGCATATTCCGTAAAAGTGATGGCTGAATCTAACTCAGTGGAGTTGATAGAAAATCAATGTCCAAATAACACCTCCTCGATTTCTATTCTTCTTCAATAGAGAAAGACTAAGTGACAATACATGCATGCGTGCACACACACATGCGCACATACACACATACGACCATGTTTAATTGAGTTCATTAACACCCAGGGTGGTCAATTTCTGAATGGGGAGTCTCAGGAAATTTGCTCCAATTAATAATAGGTAATAATAAAAAAATATTATTCTACACCCTACTGAGGTAGGTTATTAGTATTATCTGCATTTTACAAAGAAGAAACTGAGGCTTAAGGAGATTCAGTATTTCAAGGACTTTAGGTAGTAAGTGGCAATCTCAGGTCTGTCTGTCAGATTAATCCAAGATTTCTGCCCACCTTCTATCCATGCAACATGTTTTGAGCTTCTGTTTTGTGCCAAGCCTATATCCTGACAAAGATACAGTAACTATGAAACAAGGTCTCTGCCCTCAATAAGGTCATGTTCCAAGCAACACTGGGGGAAAATAGGCAAGCATTTCTCTAGATTGTGGGATCCTATTATTAATCTCATAGAAGTGTGGGGAACACTAGAATGAAGACACTATTATAGGCTTTTAACTACCACAAACAGCATCTGGTTTTTAGTCAATCAAACTAAGTGTTTTTCAGTACATATTATAATCAGCATGCCTGCCTGGCTCTTTCCCCAGCAAATACAGAACTATTTTTATTTCATAAAGAAAAAAAAATCAAGGGTGTGGGTATTTCATTCAGGAATCCCAGTAAGTCTTTTAAGATTTAGTAATTTTAGCACATCTTGCAGTGCCAGGAGAAAATAAATCAACTGCTTTTGGCTGTCAACTGATTTTCTCTGTTTTTTGAGTTTTGGGGTTTTTTTTAAGGTGCCTTGGTGCCAAATAACATAAAAAAGTGGCTGAGATTACACCTCATCAGAAATACACAAAAATTCTAAGGGCTTTCTTCATTAGTCTCATTTGTAGATGTTCTATGGCTTACTTCCTTCAGGGTCTGAAATTGAGAAGTAGGGAGTTTTGAGCAGGAGGACTGTTTTTAAAATAGTTAAAACCTCATTCTCATTTTGCAGGGAGTAATTGCTACTTCAGTTATCTGTAATTTTGTAATCAAAATAGAACACTGGTAGAGTTTTCAATTGGGAAAATGTGGAGGGACAGAACCTAGAGTATCATGAGAAAATAAAATATGGTCTAAAAACTAGAGGAGAATTTATCCAATTAACTCTTTAATTTAGGAACATTTAGGACAAATAAGGGAAAAAATCCCACGAAGATCTAAAGAAAAAAAAGTCAGTATAAAAACATTACCATAAGAAATGTCTTATTAGGAAGAGAAAACCTTTGGATTCTTTATATTACACCAGAGCCACAAGGCAGCACGATGTCACAGAGGGTCACATCCCTGCACATATGATGTGGTTTTATTATATTAATATGACCTCACTAGATTTGAGCTAACCTCATGTGGCACCAAAGAATTTAAAGATTTTTAAATAAATGAGGATATGAGGACAATAAGTGGTTGGTTATATATATTTAGGTCCACAGCTCAGAACAGATCAAAGAAGCCCAAGTGCACTGGGCCGCACACTCCATCAGTCCCTGTGATGGGACCAAAGGTGACTACATGCTGTAGCACCACGTCATTGCAGGTACTGCAGAATCATTAGGCTGGGACTTGTGAAAGCATCACATTAAGGAGTGATTTCTAGAAAAACTGTGAGTCTTATTTCTGTAGAAGGGACTGTAGTTTCTCTGCCACCTATAGATTCTTTAAAGACACTCTTTCAGGACCCTTTCTCTTAGCTTTCTTGTATTAGTATTGATCTGGATCATTTTTTCAGCCACAAGCTTCACTTTAATATACCTGACCAAGCTGTTACAGAGCTCCTGTCTTATGCTAAGCAGGCTCGTAGGCACTGGAGTTCCAAAGACTTGAAAGACACAACTCCTTCTGATAGAAGACAAATCCTAAATTGATACTATCAATATGCTGTACTTGGAGCTATAAAACAAAAATGCACCAGGACACTGTGGAAAGAGGAACTGACCCAGACCATGGAAGAGCTTGGAAGACAAAATGCCTCATAGGACAAGTAGGACACACAGCTGTAACCTCCAAGAAAGTGGAAACACACCTGTAGAACAGGAGGAAATCTTTGCAAATCATGTATTTAGTAAGAAACTTGTATCTAGAACATATAAAAGAACTCTTACAACTTAATAAAAACACAAATAACCCAATTTAAAAAATGGGCAAAGGATCTCAATAGACATTTCTCCGAAGAACATAGACAAAGGCCAATAGCACATGAGAAGTGGCTCAAAATCATTAACTATGAGGAGAATGCAAATCAAAAGTATAAGGAGCTATCACTTCTTAGCACCTAGGATGGCTCTAATAAAAAAACATAATAACAAATGGTGCCTGGATTGGAGAAATTATAATCCCCATACATTGCTGGTAGGTACAGCCACTCTGGAAAACCATCTGGCAGTTCCTCAAAAGGTGAAACGTTGAGTTAATATAGACTTAGCAAATCCATTCCAAGGTATATATCCAGAGAAATGAAAATATATTTTCACACAAAAACTTACATACAAATATTTACAATAGCATTATCCATAAGAGCTGAAAAGTGGAAATAACCTAAATGTCTAACAACTACTGAACAGATAAACAAAATGTGGTATAGCCATACAAAGGAGTATTATTCAGCCATAAAAAGGAATGAAGTACTGATTCATGCCACAACATGGATGAAGCTTGAATATTCCAGCTTAGTGAATGAAACTGTCACTAGTGGACATTGTGATTACATTAATGGGAGATGTCCACAGTAGACTAAGCCACAGAAACAGAAAGTTGATTAGCAGTTGGCTAGAGTTTGGGAAAATGGGAGGTTGACTGCCAAGAGACGCAGGGTTTCTTTTGGGAGTGATGAAAATGTTCTAAAAGTGATGGTAGTGACAGTTGCAAAGCTGAACACACTGACAGTGAATCATACACTGTGAATGGATGAGTTGAATGATACGTTATCTCACTACAGCGGTTAAATAAAAAATATACTGCTGTATCAAAATTCCATGTTCGTTGTTGAGACATTGCTGAGAATGATAATTATAACAAAAATAACTCCTCATTCTTGTACTTTAAGTACTCCAGGCCTACTATTTTTCTAGTAGTTTATCAAATTAAACAACATATGAATAAAACACTTTAACAATTATGTCTTCATAAAATGGCTCTTGCTTCAGTATTTTTACTTCATCCAGAGTTTATCTATGACCCAGAAGAGTAAATTCATTTACTGGCCAGTGTTATTTGTATATTAATTGTTACAATTTCTAATGGTATAGAAAAGATTTATTTAATAAGAACATTTGGAGGGTGCTTATCACCACTACTCCCAAACAACTGCATAAAACAGTCCAACCTCTTTTTAAGCAGAAAAATAACATCTCTGAGGAGTCACCATTCAAATCTAGGCTTGGACCTACTAAAAAAGAAATATGGCCCTTTTCACAGGGCTAAAATTTACTGGTTTTAAAAAGTGGTTATTCTTTCATTTCTGTTCTATTAGTGAATTATCATAGAATGAACTGACACCAATAATCCCATAAGAATAATACTTCTAAACAACTCAAATAATTTAAAAAATTTTGAAATAGTTCCTCTAAGCTATAATCAACAAGTATGTTGACTAATACTTACAAGTAAAATGGAATTCCTAGGAAAGGAAGAAATGGAGGCATTTCTTGCTATTGCTGTGATATAAAGGGAAGTTCTAATTCGTGTGAGACCACAGACTGATGCAGATTTCATGGAAAGACTGAGTCCAGACTGGGCTGTTTCTCTAATACATTACTGAATAACTAGGACTAGGATATAAAACTGATAGATTGGATGTGACACATGATCATCTAGCAAATAAAAACAGTAACATCTCTAATGAATCACAAACTGTCTCATTACTTCA